CCGCGGTTCGTGTCCCGGACCTGGTGGCTTAAAACTCACCCCGGGCGCGTGTGCGTGCGTGCCCAAGATCCCGAGAGGAGAATGGAGGAGAAGGGACTGCGGCGTGACCATCCCCCCTGGGGGGTGATTTCTCGCTTTCTGTCTCTATGTCTCTCTCTGTCTGTCTGGCGAGCGCATGCGCCCTACAGTGAAAATCTCTCCAAAAGAAAAAAAAAAAAAGCTTTGCTAACTCTTATAAATGTGATCAGACTATTTTGATCAATTACTGGCTTTCTCCAAATGTTTGCATTTTTAAAGAATTATTCTACAAAGTCCATTGAAAAGTCATAGCATTTTTCTACAAGCTGAGCACATCATCTAGAAAGTCCGCAAGTAAAAGGATGATTGTAGTAGTATAAATTAAATACCTCTAGACCCATTTCACCTCGGGCTACTCTCCAAGCCACTGACCCAGATATTCTTCCACCAAGTTCTCCAGGTTTTGGGGTTTTGGGAGATATAAATTCAACAAGCTCCACAATTATTCTCTGGAGAAGTTCTTTTCTTCTGTTCTCTGACAAAGAGAGTTGCCTCTGTAAATCAGGTTTTTAAAACATGTTAAGATGAAGGGAATGTAAAGGTCTATCTCTACGCAATAACATATACTTAAAACATATGCCTTTTAAAAGGTCTTGAAAGAAGTAACTAATTTTATTTTATACATATATTATTTAGGAAATAAAAAGGACATTGTAAAAACTTCAAACAATTTTACAAATTTTATGTTGAAAAATTGTTTAAGACCTATTTCTAATTCTCCATGACCTCTACTATCCTACAATTAAATGGAGGTAGTCACTTTTTCTGGCTCTGATGGATGAGCATGTGGTACAATGACTATCCTGCTTAGAAAAGCTGGGAAAACACACGCACACAGACACACTCTAGACATGCACCTGCTCCAATGGAATGGAAAGGTCCCAAGGTAACCAAAACTGGAGAAGCCAAGCTCCTGAGGGAAGAAACGAATTTAGGTGAAGGGAATATGCTGCATCTCTTTTCTCTTCAGGCATTTGGTAGTTACTAAGTGGCATGAGATGAGGCTGAGAAGCTAAGCACAAAATGGTATAACTAAAGTGCTAAAAAAAACGAAGAACTTTTTAGCAGAAACAGAGTTTTGGGAAGAAATCAGAATTCAGAGTCTTCCGAGGTAAGGAGCTCTTGCAAATACTGTAGGTTGGGATCTCTAAAGGGCTACACATGGTAAGCAAGAACAAATTCAAAACAGAATGAAATTTCGCCTTGAATCTAAATCGTCCACTGGATTAAAGTGATATGCCTTTATTCTGCCTGCCAGAAGAAACAGCAGTTGTTTATATTTTAAAGTTAAAACAAACAAACAGGGTTGGTCTTGTAGCTCAGTGATCAAGGGAGCTGGATCCCACATGGCCAACCACGGTTCGAGTCCCAGCCTCAGCGTGTGTGTGTCTGTGTGTGTGCCCAAACTCCTGACGGACGAGGGCCCTGACAAAGGGAAGAATGGAGGAAAAAGGATTGCAGCATGACTGCGCTCCACTCTGGGGTGCTTTCTCCCTCTCTGATTACTGCCTGTGCCACTTGGCAATAAAAAAACAAGTAAAACAAATGAAACTCCAAAAAGCCTACCCACATGTATAGCGTTAACATTTTCAGTATCAACAATGGGGTATAAAGTTAAAATTGAACTTTTCACCTTGGGCCTCCAGTTCTTCTCCTCAGAAGTCGTCACTGTTAATAAGTTCCTGTGCCTTATTTCAGGTATTTCCATACACAGATAAATGGAAGTGTATGTGTGGGTATATGTTTACATATGTACATAAGCAAGTTTATGTCATTACATTCAAGTCACAACTATTTTGATAAGACAATTCCCTTTTCATGTCATGTACTATAAGTAATGAGCGTTTTCATTCAACTTTGAGAATAAAAATGACTACTTAATCTAAAAAGCATATATTTAAATAAATCATAGACATTTTCGATGAACAAAAAGACCTTTAACATATTATACTTGCTTGTAAAATAATGCCTCTACTGTAAGAATGTCAATGGGTTAAAAAGTGATTACTCCTGATTTTATACAAAATTTCAAATACCTTCTCAAAAATGAACAGCATCACATACCTGCTTATTAAGCCCATTAATGGTTTCTCGAAGTACTTCTTCTTTAACCTTGGTTCTCCTAGAGATCACCTCTTCATGCTTACAAGAATATCGCCAAGTGACATCAACTACCTGAAACAAATTACAGGCAGTTACACAAATATTGAACATGATTACAATTGTCACTCCTATTTGCTAAATACATAGGATGTATGTAATCTTAAATGCAATGATTTAAAACATGATTTTTTGTTTAAAAATTTAAAACCTGTGAAATAAGTGAAAATATGCTTTTTATTAGTTTTCTAACAGGCACGCTTTCAAACACTGTTATAAAAAGAAAATTTTCATAAGATTAGTTTTTTAAGGTGTATCTATTAAGCTGATTCCACAATTTAACATATAGAAACTTTATCTATTTTTATTATATTAAGTTTATATTATAGAAAACTGATTTTTTTTGGGGGGGGGAGAGGTTTTCGCTATAGGATGCATGTACTCGCCAGAAAGACAGAGAGAGATGGAGAGATGGAAAGAGAGAAATCACCCCCCAGGGGGGATGGCTACACCATTATCCCTTCTCCTCCATTCTCCTCTTGGGATCTTGGGCACACATGCACACATGCCCAGCATGAGTTTAAACCACCGGGTCCGGGACTCAAACCACGGTCAACTACATGGGAGTCCAGTAACATAGTCATTATGCCAACTGCTGGTCCTGAAAACTAATTTTTTTCAAGAGAGATTTTTGCAATAGGGTGTGTACATTTGTTGGAAAGAGAGAGAAAGTGAGAAATTATGCCCCCCTGGGGGCGGGGGGAAGAATTGCCATGCTGAAATCCCTCTCCTCCATCCTTCTTTCAGGATTTTGGGCATGCATGCACATGTACACGGCCTCCAGATCCAGGACTTGAACCCTGGTCGGCCATGTGGGAGTCTAGCACCTTAACCACTATGCCACATGTTGGGCCCAGAACAACTGATTTTTGACAAAGCTACAAAGACAATTCAGTAGAAAAAGACAATGTTTCCAATGCATGGTGCTGGAACAAGTCATTAAAATAAAAAAAAAATGAACTTCAATGCACACTTTAAACCATCTACAAAAATTAATTCAAAATGAATCACAGACCTAAATGTAAAACTAAAAATATAAAACTTCCAGAAGAAAACCCAAGACAAAATCATTGTGACCTTGGGCTAGTCAAAAGTTTCTTAGATGCAACATCACAATCCATAAAAGAACAAACTGGTAAGCTAGACTTCATCAATTTCTTCTCATTCCAAAGCATGAAAGGACAGGTTATAGAAAGGGAGAAAAATCTTCTCAAAGCATGTATCTTCTGATAAAGTACTTAAATGCTCAGTATTGTTTGTCATTAGGGAAGTGCAAATAAAAACCACAATGAGACATCGCTATACCCCTAATAAAAGGGCTAAAATAAAAAAGTCAGACCATATTACATGTTAGCAAGGACACAGAGAGCTGAGGCTGTAAAAGGGAGCCATCATTTTGGAAAAGAGCTCAGCAGTTTCTTAAAAAGTTAGACGTATACCTATCATAGGATCCGGCTGCTCCACTTCTAGGCATAAACAAAGGGAAAAACAAGCATATTTCCATAAAAAGACCTGCATGCCTGAAATTTCATAGCAACTTAACTTGACATAGTAAAACACAGGAAGTGCCCAAACATCACCAATGGGTGAATGCATCAACACACTATGGTTTGCACACGATGAACACTGACTGCAGTGCTGAGTTAATGAGGGCAGACAGACGATGACACTTACTAAACGGCACATTTTAAATATAAGCCTATTGTATGTCAATTATACCCTCATAGGGATGTCAAAAGACTTATTCTTGGAAAAGATTGCTTTCGCTGATGGCCTACCTCATCTTTAGAAAATGCTATGACATAGGAAAGCTTCTTGCCCCATCCGATTTCATAAAGGAGTGGTTTGTCACACACATCTTCGCACGCATCGCAGTGCAGCCACCGCTGCTGGGAAGGAGAGTAGACTTCTGTCCAGACGTGGTCTACTCAAGTCAGAGACAAGAGGGCAAAAGGAAAAACAGTTACAGTTATAAAACCAGGATGACTTCCAGTCACTACATACAATCTCCTCAGATAAGAATCAAATAAAATCACTTGTAATTAATTCTAAAGTTTGGTTCAGAGTGAACATTTTACGGCACCCAAGATTCCAGAATACTTGCATTAATTTGTTTGTCTCAAATCCTTGAAAATGTTTTGGGGATAATCCTCTTTAAAATGCAGTCAATTTTAGGATTAATTAAGAATATTGTGTGTTGTCACTCTCAAGAAAGTAAACATATTAAAAATACAGCATCAAAAATATCAGGCTATTTGCCAATGTGAACTGTTAATCCCATTTTGGAAACTGTAGTTTCTGGAACCAGCAGTTAGTGTAATGGCTATGTCGCTGGACTCCCATGTAGTCGACTGACGTTCGAGTCCTGGACCCAGTGGCTTAAACTCATACCAGGCGCATGTGCGTGCATGCCCAAGATCCCGAGAGGAGAATGGAGGAGAAGGGATTGCGGCGTGGACATCCCCCATGCGGGGGAGTTCTTGCTTTCTGTCTCTCTGTGTCTTCCTGGAGAGTGCACGTGCCCTATAGCAAAAATCTCTCTCTCAAAAAAAAAAAAAAAAAAGAAAGAAACTGTAGTCTCATTCTTTGGCTTGTAAGGAGGTCTACCTGGATCTCTGGTTACTGATTTCCTATCTTATTGTGACAGAACAGTGGCTATTATCTGAAGCTATTAACTGATTCTAAACAATCAAGGAAAATAACAAGCAAAACTAAGAGTAAGAAAAAGAGCTTTTAACCATGTAGACAATGTACATCATTTCTAAATAAGGACAATACAGATATTTCTATTAATTTTTTTATGCTGTGATTTAAGTTAAGTAACTCAATTATAGTAATCTCTATACAAACGAAGATTGATACGGCATATGCTTGTACATGTTCTTATCCAGATATAAATTACTATAAATGCTATGGTAAATTATTAATAAAAGAATATTTTAAAATTTCTGTTTTATTTTGTTTTTCTAACTTATTATAGGGCATGTTAGAGATAGAGAGATTTTTAAGAGAGCACGCTCGCCCCTCTGGAGCAGGGGGTGGACGGCCACGCTGCAACCCCTTAACTCCATCCTCTTCTTGGAGTCTAGGCAAGTATGCACTAGCACCCAAGGTATTTTTTCAAGTCACTAGGTCCAGAACTCAAAGTGCACAGTTAGCCCTGTAAAATCCGGCTGCCTTAACCCCCATACCACTGGCTGGCCCCAATAAAAGAATCTTTAGAATGCAAAGAACCAGGTAAGTACTAGGTATATTACAAACGTCTTGTGATTCCTTCAAAAAAATCTGTGAGGTTGATATTCCTGTTATTTTCTAAAAGGCAAATGGAAGCTTAGACTGACCAGGTCAGAAAGTAACAAACAGAAAATGAAGTGCTCACACTATAACCCACATCTGTAAGTCTCACAGCCCCACTCCTCTCTCCTCACACCATGTTCTGTACCTGTGTAATCCCACACGTAGCGAGCCTCGAACCCCAGGGCTCGGCAGCACAGCGTAAAACAGTTAGCCCACTCGCCACACCGTCCACATCTTGTTTCCAAAAGTTTCTCAGGGTTATTGTATCTGGTTAAAAAAAAAAAAGACACCTTATCAAAACGAAGATCTTTAAAGACTATTACCTCTGTGTGACATAGTAATGATTAATAAAGACACCTTATCAAAACGAAGATCTTTAAAGACTATTACCTCTGTGTGACACAGTAATGATTAATTTCTTCTTTTAACATTTTTATTAAAAAGCCTAGTATATATGAAACATAGAGCTAGAATCTTTAGTGAAAAGCGATTTAAACAGTGGCACTGGCTTCAAAGTGTTTACAGCCCTAAGAATTAACACAAATCATTTTAATATATGACAGAAAGTGATAGGAATTCTACAGTAAACCAGATTTAGTGTTACGGGGAAATACATGGGGAGAACTTTCATTTAAACTGGGTTTTGAACAACAAATAACATCTCGCGGTAAGATTATCTATACAATCTGCCTAAAACATTAGCATTACTCAATCAAGTGCTATAATTAGCTTGTATTTAAAAGGTAAACAAATTTAACAAACTACTCAATAAAGACTTTAGGTTAATTCGATTTTATTTAAAATGCTGTTATTCTTTCTAATGATAATTTGAACTAAAATGGAATTCTGATGTATTTAAAGTTGCTTGCTAAATTTTTTTAGAGAGATTTTTGCTATAGGGCGCGTGTGTTCACCAGAGAACAGTGAGAGACAGAGAGACAGAAAGTGAGAAATCACTCCCCAGAGGGGATGGCCACACCACAATCCCTTCTCCTCCATTCTCCTCTTGGAATTTAGGGAATGCACACACAGGAGACTAGTGGTGAATTTTTGCCACAGTAGTTGAACCGCAGTCAACTACGTGGGAGTCCAGCAATATAACCACTATGCCATCTGCTGGTCATGGTACTTGCTAAATTTAAAGTTGTTTTGTGGAAGATGTTTGTGACATTTTTTTAAAAGGTTACTCCAATTATAAAATTATCATAAACTGGAGAACAGCAAATTTTGCATATTGTGTTGAGAAGGATTTTAAGCTGATACAGCTAAGCAGAAAAGGTGCCCCATCTGAGCAGAGATGTCAGATAAGAACTTAGGAGTGAAAGGAAACAGTGGCATGAATGAACTGGTTCTGCAATGAAAGACAATTCTGTTAAGCAGGTACTCTTGCTTAAATGGAATTAATGGAATCGAGAACTCAGGCAATAATTGAAAAGGCTGTAAATATACACTGAGTAATAACAGTAGAATTACAGTGTCCTATGCCTCCATCTTCTTCTATTGCATATACACTACTGGTACCAAGTCAGAAGACCAGATTAGCTTCTAATTAATAGTGTTCATCATCCCTCATCTACACAGAGAACAGCTATCGGTAAAACAAGCACATGATTAGAAAGGAAAAGAATAACACTTTGCATAAATGTCTATGTTAGAGCCAGTTTTATATTAGTTAAAAGAACCAGATCCCTTGGGGCCAGCAGTGGGTGTGGTGGTTAAGGCGCTGGACTCCCACATGGCTGACCATGGTCTGAGTTCCGGATCTGGTGTCTTGCTTTCTCACTTTAGGGACCAGCAGTTGGTGTAATGGTTATGTCGCTAGACTCTCATGTAGTGGACCACGGTTCAAGTCCTGGACCCAGTGGCTTATACTCACTCACACCAGGCACATGTTCGGGTGTGCCCAAGATCCCAAGAGGAGAATGGAGGAGAAGGGACTGTGGCATGGCCATCACCCCGGGGAGTGATTTCTTGCTTTCTATCTCTCTGTCTCCCTTTGTCATTTATACACACGCCCTATAGCAAAAACCTCTCCAAAAAAAAAAAGCAAAAGAACCAGATTACCAGATTCCACATGGCCAACCTGAGTTTGAATCCTGCCCCCAGCAGTTGGGCACATGTACATGTGTGCCCCCTATTCTGACAAGATGGGATGAAGGACGGGAAGGGACTATGCCATTGCCATTGGAGGTGCTTGCTCCCTCTCTCTCTGGTGAGCATATATGCCCTCTGGCCATTAAACATATATATACATTTATGTTAGCCTGTGCCACTCTACACTGCGTTAATAGTGTACATCCAACTACCTATGGAAAAGATCATATGAGAAGGATTTAATTATATACATATATCTTTGCAAAGTATGTGTGCAAATGTATGCCAAATGAAAAATAACTTACACTAATCATAGATAATTACTGAGTATTGGATTCTGCTCTCCCTAAATCCTATATATCATAGGGCTCACTCTAAATTGGGGATAGATCTGAGTCCCTAATCCCCCCAATTACATATTTTGAAAATGTGGTATCTTTTTTCACCCTATAATACAAAGTTAATACTGCCAATTAATAAAATCTGACCAGAGGCTTAAAAATTTTTTAAATGGAAACAGTTAATTGAAAAATCTTAATTCTCTTAGTTTTAAAATCCAGAGATAGGAGGGAAAGTTAACTTGGGTGGGAGAAGCACTTAATTAAAAAAAAAAAGTGTGGCTTTAAAAAGAAAATAATATAGGGAACCAGCAGTTAGCGTAATGGGTATGTCGCTGGACTCCCACGTAGTTGACCGCGGTTCGTGTCCTGGACCCGGTGGCTTAAAACGCCGGGCGCGTGTGTGTCCGTGCCCAGGATCCCGAGAGGAGAATGGAGGAGAAGGGATTGCGGCGTGACCATCCCCCCTGGGGGGTGATGGGTGATTTCTCACTTTCTGTCTCTCTGTCTCTCTCTGTCTGTCTGGCAAGCGCACACACCCTATAGCAGAAACCTTTCAAAAAAAATAATATAATCACACTATACTATACTTTTAATCTTCTATATTTTCATCTGATGACTATTCTGGGTGTAGCATTGTATTTACTAACACAATGATCACCACTATTGTTATTAATCGGTCATCAGGAAAATCATGATGCATTTTTACACAGAAAAAAAGAATACATCATGACTTTCCTGACAACCTAATAGTATTATTATGTGTTATCTGCATCATTATTATTAGTTATCAGAATGTTAAAAATCATGTATTTAAAGAATACAAGATTTACAGCATTAATCATGCTATGACAACACTCAAGTTATATTTTAGAGTCAACAAACTTTCTATAAAAGTACAGAGAGTAAATACTTGGACCGTGTGGGTCTCATGGTATTTCTCAGCAGTATTCAGCTCTGCTATTACAGAATGAAAACAGTAACAGATTGTAAGTAAACTAATCGGTACTGCAGTATTCTAATAAAACTTCATTTACAAAAACTAAGATATGGGCTAGATCAGTCTGCTAGTCATAATCTCTCAACCTCTATTCTAGAGGAATCTATTTCTGTTATTTAAAATAAAGATTAAAAAGTTCTTTTTATAGAAATTCACTTCTAACCACTCCACTAAGAGACTACACTGGTTTTATTATCCAAGCACCCACCTTGGAAATCGATTACTGAACTGGCACGCATCGCAGTAATGGTCTTCGACCTTCTTTGCACCCCACTTCAGCTCGTCATCGCTGGGCAATAATGAGTTCTCTCTAGATCTAGTCTGTCCACCACATTTGCTGCACAAAACGTTGTTTACCCAGTGAAAAAATTCTTCCTTAAACCAGTGCAAAAGCTCCAGCAAGAGAAAATCCTCATTACTTACTTTAGTACCTGAGAAGTTAAAAGAGAATCAAGTAAGGTTTGAAAGAGAAAATCTAAAAATGTCCACTCATAATTTATTCTCAAATATCAGGCTGGAATATAGTCATGAGTTGTTTAACAACTGAGATACTTTCTGGAAAATGCATAGAGAGGCGATGTGTCACTGTGTGAACATCACAGAGTGCGCTTACACAAGCCCAGATGGGAGGTGTAGCCTGCTATACCCTAGCTACATGATACAGCCTATTATAATCTTTTTTAAAAATAATCATTTTATTTAACTTTATTATTTTAATATTTCCAGATACACACACACGCACGCACGCATGCACACGAGAGAGAGAGAAGTGAGAAAGCAAGCCTCTGGGTCCAGGACTTGAACCACGGTCGGCCATGTGGGAGTCTAGCATCCTTAACCACAATGCCACCTGCTGGCCCCAGCCTGTAAATATCTTACTGGACCATCATCATGTATGCAGTCCATCACTGGCCGTAATGCTATTATATGGTGTATAACTGTATATGAAAATATAAAATGACATAAAAAGTTTTCTAAAAGAAGATGCCACAAATAACTGTCAGTGTATTGTGAACAAGGCTAAAATATTGGGTTGTTGGAAAAGTAACGATGCATTTTTACATAGAAAAACATAAAAAACATTAAGTCATGACTTTTCTGACCACCAACTACAATAACGTGCGTGATTACACATTTATCATTTTACATCCTCTACCGGACATTAATTATGCATTAACAAGTGAGCTGTACAGAATGACCTCTTGAACTTAGTCAGTTTGGAACTGATCTTGAAGTACAAGGGAGCTATGAAAATAAGTCTGGTTTTGAACCTTTTTTAAAAACTTTATTTATTTATTTATATTTGACCAGAGAGGGACAGAGAGAGAGAAAGGGAAAGTGAGAAAGCAAGTCACCAGGTCCAGGAACTGAGCTGTAGTCAGCCATGTGGGAGTCCAGCACCCTTAACCACTGTGCCACCTGCCGGCCCCTGGTTTTTCTATTTTTTGAAGAGATTTTCACTATAGGTCACGTGCACTAGCCAGACAGAGAGAGAGAGACATAGAGACAGAAAGTGAGAAATCACCCCCCCGGGGGGATAGTCACGCTGCAATCCCTTCTCCTCCACTCTCCTCTTGGGATCTTGGGCATGCACGCACACGCGCCCGGTGTGAGTTTTAAGCCACCGGGTCCGGGACGTGAACCGCGGTCGACTACGTGGGAGTTCAGCGACATAGCCATTACACTAACTGCTGGTTCCCCCGGCCCCTGGTTTTGAACATTTTTAAATGGCTATATGAAATTGTTACAGGGGTGGACATAAAATAATGACGAAAACCAAAGTCAAAAATCACAGAACTCTAGACACTTTTAAAAGCATCCAATTAGCTTTTCTATCAGTGCTTCAACTATACAGTATAATCCATCCAGGATACTCATCCCAAAACACATTAAAAACACAACCATGTCTGTAGTGTATATTATGACCCTAGCAAGTAAGCACCGAAAATATACCCAACTTCACCAAATAAAAAGGTATCTCTTGACCATATTCAAGACCGAGGTATCTCTGGAAAGAAGAGGAGAGACATGGGAGAGAGAGAATCAGGAGACATACATACGGGCTCTCAACTCTACTTTTAATAATCTATTATTAAAAAACAATAAAATATGTATAAAAAACATACGGTATCATCTTAAGATCTAATAAAGTTTGATGATGGTCATAGGTGTTTGATTTTTTTTAAATTTACTTATTTCTTTCATCAGAGGGCTAGAGAGACAGAGAGTGCCCCCAAGAGAGTCTTGATGCCATGATCCACCACAGCATCAACCAGCCCTAGATCATGCGTGTACTCAGGGAGGTCTCGGATGTGAACCCAGAGCCTTTTCATGTGGGTCGGCCTTGCGGAGTGTCACATTTTACCTCTGTGTCACCATCTGGTCCCAGATGTGTGTCATATCACACTCTATTCTTGTATTTATGTTGGGTGTATTCCAAAATTTAAAAAGCTACAGAAGTACACCATAGAGAATATAAAAAGGCCAGAAATACGTAATTTTCCTGGATGTGAAAACTCAATATTTTTAAAGTTGTTAATTTTCCACTAATTAGCCTCTAATCTAGTGCAACCCCAATTAAAATTTAAATTAATTTTTCACAAAATCTGACAAATTACAAAATTCCTGTGAAAGAGGAGATAAACAAGAGTCGATACAACTCTGGGTAAGAACCATCATGTAAATGTGCATGCAGCTTATCAAACCATATTATAAAATTCTAATAAGTAAGATATTGTGATATTGGTAAAAATAAACAGAGACCAATGAAACAAAAGAAAGTCCTGAAAGACAAGTTTGTAACTGAAATATACAGCAGTTAATGAAGTTAGCAATTCAAAGCAATTCTAAGAGGATGGACTGTTCCACAAATGATATTGAAACAAGTAGCTATCTAAATATCAGATCCCTCTTGTACTTAATTCATAGAATTAAAAAAAAAATCTATCTACTGAAGAAATTCTATAAAAGCAGCAATAAGTTTACAGGAGAATAGGAATATGATTTTGGGCTAGAGAAGACATTAAAACACGAATTATACAATTAATAATGAAAATAATTAAATTTTCTTATGTTAAAATTTTAAACTTTTGAGACCAGCAGGTGGTGTAATGGTTACGTTGTTGGACTCCCACGTGGCAGTCCATGGTTCAAGTCCCAGATGCAGAGGCTTGAAACTCACTTTACGTGCAAGCGCATGTGTGCACGCATGCATGCGTGTGCATGCCCAGAATCCAGAAAGAAGAATGGAGGAGAAGGGACTGTGGCACAGCTGTCTCCCTTGGGGGGTGATTTCTCACTTTCTGCCTCTGTTTCTCCAGTGAGTGCACACACCCTAAAAAAAAATTTAAACTTTTAAATTTCAAAAGACACAGTAAATGAATTAACAAAGAACACTGGGAGGAAACATTGCAATCAGCTAACAAGGAAAAGATATATATGTAGAATAGATTAAGAATTTCTAGAGACCAGCAGGTGGTGTGGCGGTTAAGGCACTGCGCTCCTACATGGTTAACCACAGTTTGAGTCCCAGACCTGGTAGCTTGCTTTCTCACTTTCTCTCCCTCTCTCTCCCTCTTTCTCTCTCTCTGGCGAGAGCATGTGCCCTAGAGCAAATTTTAAAAATAATAATAAATATAATTAAATAAATAATTCTTTAAAATGTTTTTCTATGAATTAGTAAGAATATTAACATACCCTTTAGTACATTAATAAAATCCATATAAAACTTTGGTAATTCCATTAACTTTGAACAAATACTCCTAGAGACTTCTGGATTAAGTGGAAAGTGAACTCCACTGCAATATAGCAATTTCACATACCCTTGAATCTTCTGGTTATCTGTCCCAGAAAAATTTTTGTTCATGTATATCAGGAGACATGCTTTGTATTATTTTTAAAATGTTATTCATTGCTATTATCTTTTAATTTGACTAGAGAGAAACAAAGAGAGAGAGAGAGAGTAAAAGAGAAAGTGAGAAAGCAAGCCACCAGGTCTGGGTCTGGAACCATTACAGGCCATGTGGGAGTCCAGGGCCCCAACCACCACACCACCTGCTGGCCCCAGGAGACATGCTTTGTAAAAATATTCACTGCAAGGGCTGGCAGGTGGCATGGTCATTGAAAGTGCTGGATTCCCACATGGCCAACCATGTTCAAGTCCTAGACCTGGCAGCCTGCTTTCTCGCTTTCCCTTTCTCTCTCTCTCGGTCTCTGTCTGGTCAAATTAAAAAATAGTAACAACAAACATACATACATAAATAAATAAATAAATAAATAATTTTAAAAAATTCACTGTGGTAGCATTTAATATAGAAAAATGATAAATAACCTCAATGTCCATCAACGGAGATCTCAATATTTAATAAGATATGTGTTCTATAGAACACTGGAGAGTTAGCAAGATTTCTATGATACATTTATAAATTAAAAAACACCAAGGAATTGAATATATATGGGATGATAAAGTCTTTGTACATCCCACACAACTTTTCTTCTTTTTTCTGGGCATAAAGTTGAGGATCTCACTACGGTACAGTCCACATGAGCGTAACTTTTAAACAAGTTCAACAAGGTTCAAACCTTTATATGTGTCCAGAAATTTATCCATCTCATCCAGGTTTTGTTTGTTGGCGTACAGTTGCAGATGGGGTTCTCTTATGATCTTTTGTCTTTGTTACGTCTATTGTAATACTGCCTCTTTCATTGCTAATTTAATTTATCCGGTTCCTTTCTCTGTTCTTGATAAGTCTAGCTAACGGTGTGTCAATCTTGCTTATCCTCTCAAAGAACCAGCTTTTGGCTTCATTTATGTTATGTATAGTTTTCTTATTCTCCATTTCATTGATTTGTGCCCAAATCTTTATTATTTATTTTCTCCTGTTATTTTTTTGTTGTTGTGTTTCCAGTTCTGTGAGGTGCATTTTTAGGTTGTCTATTTGCCACCGTTCCATTTTTTTTTCGTGAGCACTAATTGCTATGAACATCCCTCTTATGACTGCTTTTACTGTGCCCACAGGTTATGAAAACACCTGTGCTCATTACCATTGGTTTCAATTGATCCTACTCTTAATTTCTCTACTGCTTGTGAAGTCATTTAGGAGTAGGTTGTTTAGTTTCCATGTGTTTGTATATTTTTGAAGGTTCTTCTTCGGTTAATTGCAAGTTTAATTCCATTGTGGTTGGAGAAGATGCTGCATAGACCTTTGAATTTGTAAAGGCTTGTTTTGGGCCTATCACGTGTTTGATCTTCAAAGATGTTCCATGGAGGGGTGACAAAAATGTGTATTTTGTGGTTGTTGGGTGAAAAGTTTTATAGATGTCTTTCAAGTCCATTTTGACTTATGCTATCCTTTAGATCCTGTATCTCTTTGGTTATTTTTTCCTAGATGATCTTTGCAGAAAAGACAGAGTGGTGCTGAGATTCCCAATGCTCCTGTGTTGCAGTCTCTCTCTCCCTTTAGATTTAGCAATCTTTCTTTTACGTATTTGGGTACTCTCATGTTGGGTGCATAGGCATCTGTACATGTCAGATCTTCTTGGTGGATTAGCCCTGTTAGTACCACGTAGTGTCCTTCTTTGCCTCTTCTTATCACTTTTGTTTTAAGGTCTATTTTGTCTGATATCAGTACTGCAATTCCAGTCTTTTTTTATTTCCATTTGCATGGAATATCTTTTTCTAGTCTTTTACTTTCAGTCTAGGTATGTTTCTATCAGCAAGGTGTGTTTCTTGCAAGTAGCATATAGAGGGCTCCTGGTTTTTTTTTTTTTTTTTCAATTCATTCAGTCAGTCTGTATCTTTTAAGTGGAGAATTTTTTTTTTTTTAAATAGACCATAGTTAAATTTATTTTTAACACCCATCATGCCATGAATTCATAGGGAAAAGGTTTTAGAAGCTCAGGCTCCGTTCCATTGGTTCTCACAAAATGTGCTTCTCTGGGTGGAGCAGGCTGGTGCTCCAGTTGAACTCAGATCCCTTTCTCTTTGTCCTCCTTCTTTTTCTGGTCATTTTCCTTCACACATTTTAGGAAGCTCACTCTGCTCTTAGAATGCTTAATAAGCTCAATACCCACATTGATTTTCTTGGCAAGAATTTTGCCCTTAACTTGTTTGTTTACAACATTGCCAACAGAAAATTACAGGATCTATTTGGAGAACAGTAAATAATATAGTTTTGACTGTGTGTAGGGGTCGTGCGTGTGTAAAGCATTAGTGAGAGACTAGGTAGGCTAAGATAAAATTTTAGTTGATACTGAACTTCAGGCAGAGGAGTGTATACTGAATTTGTTTTTATTTTTTCCAAAAAGAATTAGAGATAAAAATGAAACAAAAGATACTTCTTGTCTTAAAAGGAGAATTATTTATTGTCCTCCAAATAGATCCTATAATTTTCTGCCTCTATTCATGTTGTTCACCACACTTGGGAGATAACCTCTGATCCCTGCCTTGCCTTAGCATGGCCTTTGACATCTCAGGTTGTAAATCCACTTATCTTCCTGGCCTTTTAAAACCTGATCTTTGGGTGACTCTGTGGCCTGGAGTGAAGGAAGCCAGCGTCCTTGGTGGCTGACCCTATGATTTGAGTCCTGGACCGATGGTTTGTGAAACTGCCACATGTGTGTACCTGAGTGCCCCAAATCCTGACAGGGTGGAGAAGTGGAGGCAAAGGAATTGTGACTTGACTATTTCATGGAGGGTGCTTTTTCCTTCTCCTTCTCCCTCTCTGTCTCTCTCTGGTGAGCACAAACACCAAATGGCAAAATTAAAGAGAGAGACAGGGAGAGGGAGAGAGAGAACCCGATTTTAAAAGTCATATTCCGCAAAAATAAAAATGCATACTCTGCTATAAGGAGTTACAGATTTATTTACTCATTTGATCTTTTCACTATTTAC